CATGTGATGTGATGATGTGCTTATTTGTCATGAGTTTAATTGTCTAATTTTTAAATGATCATTGTTAGTTTTAAAATGTTTATTTGTTTAGTTAAATGTTTAATAAATTATTTGTTTAGTTAAATATTTAATTATTTTATTTTAAGCATGGGTTGAGCTTGTAGTGTGCGGACCAATTAAATAGGTCTTAGGCTACTTGGAAGGAAGCCTAGATGAATGTGGGCTATAGAAGCAAAACAATAGTAACTGTAGAAGCAAAACAGATAAAATGAATTAAAAATTGATAAATCAAAAATTAAAAAATTCAAGTTACATAAAAATATAAATACTTTCATGATATGGAAAAATTAAAAATAAATGACAATGCAAACTATATTTACAAGATCAACCATTGTCGTCACCAATCAAACATTAAACAAAGAATAAAAAATAAAATACTTTCATGTTGTTTCTGAGAAAAAATTAAAATTAAAATTAAAGAAGAAAAACATAATCTTACCAGATGGAGCACAATTGCCGCCTTCTAAGGAAAAATCTAAACACCAATTACAAAGAGAAAACGAGCTGATGTAGTGAAGGTAAAATATAGAATTAAAAAAAAAAAAAAACTTTCATAATACTTTTGAAATAATAAAAAAATAAATCACAAGCAAACTAACATTGTTGTCACCAACCAAATATAAAACATATAATAAAAAATAAAATATTTTCATGATGCTTTTGAAAAAATAAAACACAAAGAGAAAATGGGCAGGTATTGCAGAAGTAAAAGTAAAACATATAATAAAAAATCAATTTCTTCTTTCTAATTGTGTTCCCTTATTAAATATTTTGAATTCAAGTATATAATATCTCTAGACTTTTAAGTTTTTTTGGTAATACGGAGTATTATTTATTGGAAAAAGCTTGCCTTAAGCCGCATCAGTAAGCCTCTTCTTCTGATGCTGATATGGACCAACAATAACATGACATGTGTCCAAAAAAATTAAACTTCAATCATACAAATCTTTTCATAGGTCATCCAAAAAGAAAGAAGAATTTTTTTTTCTCCACAAATGAATTTCCTTACAAGGAAATTTATACACCAAAGCATTAGATCACCCAACTCTTAAAATAGAAAGAAAAACCTTCATATTGCAATTCGTTACTTTAAGAAACTAAACAAATAGTCCAAATAAAAAAAATGGTAAATCAACCCCCAATTGATTTTATAGAAATTTTAAAGAAGTCAATTCTCCTTCAGATGAATAGTTGTTGTCTTGTGTCATTTTAGAGATGGAATTGTAATAGATATGGCAGGCAATGAATAATCTCTAAACTCTAAAGCTTGCAATTAAAATATTAGGGTAAGTTTGAGAATGGAGGAGTTCCGCAAGCAATGGGGCGGAACAAATGATAAATATTTGAGTTTCAGAATTGGGGAGATGGTGGGCATCAATGGCAATTTGGTGTGAATATATAATACATGTATTATCATTTCTATATATAATTAAAATTAATAAGTTTTAATTTTGAAACATATTTCTACGTATAATGTTATATTGAATTGGTAACTTGTTTTAGCCTTCAAGAATTCCGAGTATAATATGATATATTTTAATTGGTAACTTATTTTGTTATTTGGTATATTATTATATTTAAAAGTTTTTTTCATTTCTATAAATAATTAAAATTAATAAGTTTTAATTTTTAGAACACATTTTTATATATAATATTATATTTAATTGGTATATTATTATTCCAAGTATAATTGATAACTTTGATTACCTAATTTATTTTAATTGGTAATTTATTTTAGCCTTGAAGAATTCAGAGTATAATTGGTAACTTTTAATTAATAATTTATTTTATTATTTATTTATTTTTAATAATAATTTTAAAATTTTGGCACCTTTGTACTTTTAATTTAAAATAATAGTACATATAGTATAGATTAATATTATTTTATTTTATTTATATATTTTTGCAAAGGTGCTGTGAAGTCTTTTCGGTATTGCAGAAGGAGTCTATTAGGAATGACAATTTGTACTTTGAAAGGTCAATCCGCACGAGGGATATTATAAATAAAAATAGGACGGGCACAGGCGCCTCATTCTTTAGAGTATTCAGTATTGAATAAGTGGCTGAAAACTCTTCAACCCAATTCATCGTCAAAACTGTGTATAGGGCTTACAGCCCAGGCACCACTCATGGAATTAATTGAAACATCTTCTGCTTTGATTTTATTGGTAGGCTGGTTTTGGGGAGAGCATATCTTCAAGAAGATCCGCGGCGGTACCAGCAACAAGAGGATGATCGCTAGCAAGATTAATTGTGGCGGCGGCGACGAAGACGGTAATGACAAGCATGGTGCTGATAGCCAAGGCAATGATTTGGGTGGTGGTGGCGGCGGCGGCGGCGGCAGTAGTATTAATATGCTAATGGACGACATTATGTTGCAGATCCTTGGTAGATTTCCTCCTGAAACTCTCATCAAATACAAGTGTGTTTCCAGATCTTGGCGCCGCTTGATCATTGAACTCTGCAATCACCAGCTGATTCCTAAAGATGGTGGATATCCTTTTTCCGGGTTCATCTTCTCCCTAAGAGGGCTCTATCCTACCCCACTAGGCATGTGGTCCTCCCAGCAGCAAAAACAACTTCTTCTGGGTGCCGAGGATGAATTGAAGATGGTTGACAACACAAAGTTCCTGGATTGCTGCAATGGGTTGTTGCTATTTCGCCACTGGACTCTACACCCAAGAACAATCCACTTCTCTCTATGCAAAAAAACAAGAGGCCACTTGACTCTACACACAACACCAACAACTCTTGTCAATTCCAACTACATTGTTTGCAATCCCACCACAAGTGAGTGTGTGGAAATTCCTGGGCACACCAACTCGTCGTTTGATACCCCTATTGAAATTGCTGCACTTGCTTTCAATCCTTGTGAATCCAATCACTATAAGCTCGTCATCATCCCAAACCTGCGTTTCTTTTCTCAATTGAATATCTTTTCTTCGGAGACAGGGAGCTGGACTACATCCCACTTTCGTCTCCAAAAAAAGTTTTATCTTCTAAAAGGGATTGGGACACAATCTGTCTACTTAAAAGGGCAACTGTTCAAACTCTCTGCGACAGGCCACATTATAAGGATTCTCATAAACATGGAGGTAAGCAAATTCGATCGGATTCAATCCATTGATCTTCCTCTTTATCGATTAAATCTTGAATCACCTTTCAAAAGAGATTGTATTGGACTCCACAATGGGAATACTCTACAGTATGCTCTGTATACTGGTGAACGTCTGCTGATTTTTACACTAGAGCACACGAGTGGTGACATCTATGGCTCTCTCAATAAAGATGATGACTTCTCTTGGACACTAAAACACAATATTACCGTCAGAATTGCTTATAATTTTTTCCAACCTAATGTGGAAAATCCATTCATGTGGCCTGAGATGGAAAATTATTACCAGTCTACACATCCATCCTTGTGGTGTTACATTCATGCTTTTTATCCTGATTTAGATGTTATTGTATTGAGTTATAGAAAAGTGAATACTCAATTCTGTATATATTTCTACAATTACAAGCTTCAGAGGATTGAGGAGGAGCGTACCAATATGCTAAACTTCAAACTCACAGAAGAAGATGACAATCTAGTGGTGTTCCCTTTTGCTCGTTGCTTTCTTTCATTGCCCAAGCCCAAATGCACATCCCAATTTTGATACCATATTTTTTCATCTACAGAGATTACCAATAAATTCATTTGAGTTTGTCTGATCAATTGTCATTGCTTGTTTTAAATATTATTTATGCACAAAGTCCACAATGGACTTTGTTTTATAGAGGCTGGTTTTGGGGAGAGCGTGTCATTTCTTTGGTTCTTTTATGATTTGTTTTGGCAAGGTTATTTCGGGGTCTATTATGCTATGTTTTTTTCAATGGCAGAGAGAGTATATATACAGGTTATTCTCTGAGGTCCTTGTTCTGGTTTTAAGTGGAAGTGGGCGATCATGCTGGGCTTGGCTCGACTCATCGTAGCCACAGAGGTGATTCAGCTCCGCCCGAACTTGATTGAGATTTGACTGCCCATGATTGAGCTCATATACAATCTGCATATATAAATTTGTGTCTATAGAGCTACCCGTATCTTCGACTTTCATATCAATGTTCTCTTGTTTTAAGTCTAATAATTTTGTTTGAGCGTGATTCATTTAGTATAGACACGAACCAACCTTATATCAAATTGAATCTAAATAGTTTGCGACTCATTTGCAATTCATTAGCTGCACATTTCTATCATAGTTTTGTGGCCTAAAAGGTGAGGAATGAACGTATTTTTGTTGATATTGTGTTGATCAAAAGAAGAACCGAACCATGATGATAAACATGGATTTTTTTTTTTTTTTTTTTTTTTGGTACCTTTTTTTTCTAGTTTATTTTTGAAATTAGCATTTGCCTAGTAAGTAGTGGATTGTTTCTACTAACCCGCTAATGTGGTTCAATTACAAATACACACATAATAATTTGTAATTACAAAATCAGGAAAGTGATAAATAAGGAAATCAAATAAAGGATGACTGAATTTATTTCAAAAAAAATTATTGTCCTTATTTATAACTTTCCTGATTTTATAATTATAAACTATTTATATATTTGTGATTGGACCATATTACTAGTGACTACATTTGTGATTGGACCATATTACTAGTGACTACATTTGTGATTGGACCGTATTACCAGTGAGTAGGGAGGCAAGTCTTGTCCTATCACTAAACCAAAAAATCTTATATAAATCATTGAAGATTACCCACGAAGTAATATATATATATATATATATATATTTCCAGTTATATAACTAGCTTTTGAGTTTGCAAGATTTGCCACATTTGTTGATCAAAACCCTCACAACTCATCTTCATTTGCCTTATATATATATAATATAGGTTTACTCCTCCTAATCCCAATTGAAATATCCACCAGAAGTCCTGGAGTTTGATGGAATCTGCTTAGAAATCAAAATTGTGCGCCATAACAGTATGAGAAAATAATTAAATGGTCATTTACAAATCCAGGGCATGGACAATGCCAACTTAATTGTAATGCCTCTTAACAAATGAAGGTCCAACCAGACATTTTCAGAATTTCATTTTACAGTTCAAATTACATGAATTACAAGAGCTAGATTTTGAAGGTAAATATTATACATCAGGTGCACTCTTATATATCTTCAAATCATCAGGTTTCCACCCTCCCTCTTTTGCCTTCTAGTTTCTGTTGAGAGTGGATGTAAAACATTCCTTTTGAGCCCCGAAAAAGCGTTCTTATCTTTGCATACAAAGGCTGCTTCAGCTGAAACACGCTGATTAATTAGAGATCATGATGCAGAAGGTCCTCTCGGTGGTGGAGCTAACAATAGCCTTCGACCAGCGCGGCTGACCATCTGATCACTTTTGGGGGAGCTAGAAACAGTCTTACCATACATCATCGTTGTAGAACCCAAGATGTCATCCCCAAATCCGCATGCTTCGAAGAATGAGCTGACGAAAATATAATAGAATCACAATCAGCACCAAAGTTATTTCATAACTGGGATCTATGCATAAAATTATCTAATGTAGAGGACAAAAACTATAAAATCACTATCCTTATTTATCTCTATATGGACAAATTTAGCGGTGCCCAACCAGGAAAATCACCTAAAACAATCCTGAACCGAAAAGCTCAGCCATTCCATAACTCAAGTTTCAAGTTCTTTGAGCTAAAGTCTCTGGAGATAGGGTACTTGGTCGGCCTTTTGATGTTTACAAAGTCAACAAGAATTAGCTGCATTGTTGTAGGTCATAAATATAATTTATCTGCATGCATTTGCAGAAATACCAAAGGGCCTATAGTTTAATGGTATGATCTCTTCTTTACAAGCGAGGAGGTTGAGAGTTTGAGTCCTACTAAGGACATATTATGAATAAAGGGTGTGTGTTTGCATTAATTTTGTGCACCGGTTAGGAAAAGTGGCATAGTCCACATTGAGCGTAATGCTAGGGGAAAAGGAAGACCAAAGTTAACGTGGGAAGAGTTACTAAAGAAAGATATGATAGGATGTGGATTGACTGAGGCTGGCTATACATAGAACGGAATGGAAACATAGGATTCATGTAACCAATCCCGAGCAATTGGAAAAAGGCTTGTCGTGGTTGTTGGAGTATGCATTAGCAGAAATGGATACAACAAATTGATAAATAATCCGAGCAATTAGGAATAAAAATAATTCAACCAAAGTTTTGAGCCCAAGAGTTGAGGTTTACATTGGTTACAAGCAAGATTTAGCAAGTTTACCTCTCCTTGTCTGAGCAGAGGGCTGCTATGTCATAAATGTCTCTACTTGTGAGCACTCTGCACGGGAATTTGAAAATATCAGGTGCTAGAAGAAGTGAGCTTCCGAGTGTCTAAACTATAAAAATGCATATCAAAGTACAACACTAACCACGTATACAATTTCAATACAGATACTTAAAAAAAAAAAAAGTGTTATCACAAATGATACGAACTTCAATGTTCGGACTCATGTCACGTCAAATGATGCAGGTTATACTGCATTTTGAAGCACATTGAAGGCAAATTAAAAAATTTAGTGAACAAACTAGTCTTTAATGTATTATTTACTCTTAAACTGCAACTTCAATTGATTTCAAAATGAGTATCAACAGACCTTATAATCCTTTTAACTACCATCCGGCCAATTCCCATGCCTCGTAATGCAGGAATAACCTGGAAGGCACTGAAACACAATTACATGAATGCATGCAAGATATCTATCTGTTCCGAGCTAAATACAGTATATTCAAGAAACCAATTGGCAATACTAAGGATGCATTTTGAAATCGAATGACGTTTTTACTTTATTTTTTCACATTACATGCATAGACTTTAGATGTGGAGAGAGAAAAGTAGATAGAGAATTGTGAAATTGGAAAGAAAAATAAACAAATCCAAAATCTTCACCGGCGATGTTGATGATTAAAAAGCAAGCTCCAGTGGTTCATTTGCTTCGTTTTTGTTTTTTTTTTAAATGGCGATTTACTTACATAGAACAGAGCAATATAAGTAATATTTGAAGTAAATAATACCTTAAACAAGTAGAGGTAATAATAATTAGCAAGAAATCACTATACAATTGCTACTCCAAATCAAAAGACACCCTAATAATAATATGCATATAACAAAAATTGGAAGCTTGGAAGCACAAATTGTATTGCAGTCAATTTGAGATGATCAAATTATTCCCAATATACCTAATTGAGTCCAATGAAAAACTGGTTTATCATCATTACATTAAATCACTATACTAAAATTCTAACATACGGTGTAGACATACACATCACATTTCAACGCATTGAACCAAGTATATACATATTATATTATAATATATACTGTGTGTATATATATATATATATATATGAGGAATATTTTTGGATAATTGGTGTCTGACGACTCTCACCATGACATCGTAGATTGAAGCAGTCAATCCACAATCGGAAACGGCTCGGCCAAAGCCCACCAACCGACCGTTTGACGGCGTCACAGGCATCACTCTCTGGAACCAATCAATGCCCACAAGATTCGAAATTTCCGACGATGACGACTTTTTTTGTGAATCCGGAGAAGATGAAGAGTAAGATGAAACGACCTCGGGTTTGGCGAAGACGGAGACGACGACGGAGCTGTGGGAGAGGGCGATACGGAGCTTGTCGAGGTCGACGGGTTCGACTCGGCCGGCCGAGTCGAGGTTGGGGAATCGGTGGCAAGAGTGGTTGGAGAGGCTGCAGAGGTCTCTGAGGTGGTTAGGGTTTACGTGAGTTGGGTTTGTGGATATGAATATTGGAGGTGGTGGTGGTGGTCTTCGTGTCACTCTCTTCCGGTCGCTCTTGCTAATTGTTGCCGATAGTTCCCGGAATTTAGAGGGGAGGTAGCCGCCGTGCACGGCAGCTGCAGCTGCCATATCTCACTCTCTCCTCTCTCCTCTCTCTCTCTCTCTCTCTAATTTGTATATTTTTATTTATGTGATAATCCTCACTGTCTAGGCCCACTTAATCCGTAAATTGGGCCACGGTCCAACGGTTATGGGCTGATCACCCCGTTACAATGTAAGAGAAACAAATCATGTTACAAGAAGCGTGTTTGTGTTGTTTATTTAAAAACAATAACAATAATAATATATAATAAATAAATGCTACATGTACCTGATAAACTCAATGCTTTATTGAGACACTAATAATTTTTTTTTTTTTTTTTCAAACTTTTTAAAGTAAAGTTTGAGAATTCAAATTATTATAAGAACAAATTGATGAATGAGTTTCATTTTTATTTTTCTTTTCTCGACAAGAAACATACTCTCAAACTCATTTTGTCCCTAAAACTAAAATAAGTGAGACAAGTTAAGACAATATCTTACAATATTTACAATAATTAAAACTAAGAGGTAGTTCCTCCGTCCCAAAATTCTTATCCGTCTTTCTATTTTGAGATGTCCCAAAATATATGTTTTATTATAAAGTATTATTTTGTCTTTTAATAAGGATAAATTTAAAAAATAACTCTTATCAATACAATAAAAAAAAATATTAAAAACACAATAACATAAAAACTTAAATTCTCCAAAAATCCCAAAAAAATTTAAGACAAACAGAGTATTTTACTTATTTATTATTATTACTCCATATTTTTATTTTGACAAGTTCACAAACAAACCTACTTTGCCTTTAAAGAAGAAACTTTGGAAGGCCCAAGGACAGACCCAAGAAATTATACCCAGCATATATACTTTGGTTCATGTCAGCCCACATGTCCACGCAATTGCTGGTAAACAAAATGGTATTTTATCGATATTTTGTATGTATGAGATGACAATTATAAGCGTTTGAGTTTCACTTTGTGAGATTCACTGATCTGACGTCAATTCACTAATAAATTATGAAATAGAAAAGAACTAGATGAGCTACAAAGCTCAAATGCAGGAACATATATAGCAAAACCAGCCTTTATTGGAGATGGTTTGTGAAGAGATTTAAATTTGAAGAATATCTCCGTACCTTTGTAAATAAAGAGAATCCTAAAACAAATCCTTGAGATGACACACTCCTCCAAATTTCTTCCATTCTTATCCACCGTCTTAGCTTCAACACACAGTTCACCCATTTACTCATTAATGGCTTTGTCTCTAGCAGTAGACCCCATTCCCTGTCAATTAATTAAAGGTCACAATCATATGTTCCTTTTAGTAAGAATACGTATGGCAAAATATACTCACACTAGATGAATTAATGAATTATGGTATGGATTTTTAAAATGTTTAAGAACTTGACCTTTGTAAAATTTTTAAAATGTTTAAAACATGGTCTTAACCTATAGGGTATATCAATGTTTATATATGTTAAAGAATCACTCTTATGACATGAACTCATTTATACAAAACACTTTGATCTTTTTCACTTGGTTGATCTTGATCTGACACCATTATCATTTCTTAAATGGATTACTGTGTTGTGTGCATCAAGTGTGACACAATACTGTTATATCAAAGCCGTAACACAATAACTTTTCAAAAAAAAAAATAAATAAATAAAGGCATCTCACAATTGTATCGAATATGTAATACCGATGGAAATTTTTTTACATTATTGTGTTTGGATATAATTTATCGTGTGAGTATTGGGCCATCAAATAAAATGTACATTCCATGATTTGTTGCATGGGTGTTATGTTTCTCGATGTAGCGTGTTACTTCCTCGATTTAATTTTGGTGATCCATAGAGGATTACTTTCTTTATTTAAATTAGGGATACCAATTAGTTAGACTTTGTGGCTTAATGGTTTGGTTTTGATTAAAAAAAGATAATGAAACAATTAGAACTAGTTTGGTTCACGATTTAGAAGAAAAAGAACAAAAAAGAAACTAGAATTAGTAAATATACACTTTTTATTTTAGTCCCAATAATTGGATTAAACAAGGCTTGATTTAGACTTAAATATAGTTCATATTAAATTATATTTTTATGTGAGCCCAATTTATAAAATCGAACCAATTTAAACCGTTCTTCAACGAAACATTTCAATCTGGTTGATTTGATTGAATTTTAAATTTTTCATAACGTCAAGATCAATTTGGTTCTAATTTATACTTTAAACTAGATCAAATCAAATTATGTCTACTCTTAATTTAAATCATTAAAATTAAAGACTAAAATTTATTTTTTATATTTATTTTTTCATGACAAGAAACACGCACATCAAATTTATATTCTTTAGGGGGGCTTTGAAGTCTTGAACCTTGTTTGGCACAAAATAAAATGGAAGGGAAGATTATATATTTATTGTAACATCCATTACATCCATTCACAACTGAAAAAATAAAAGTTCTAAGAGGATGAAATGTAAAAAGCAAAAATACATTACGCTAGGCCTCCCTTTTCCTTTCCTCTTTCCTTCGTTAATTTCCTCTCTGCCAAACATACCATTAACCCTTTCCACAAATTACCCCGCCTCCCTCAAAATGTTTAAACACTGTCAATTGTCGATCATGAATCATGATCTAAAGGGAAAAAAGAAGATCGGACGCCAAACACTCTCTAAAATCCGACATATAATTTCTCTCTGCCCGGACAGAGTTTTACTCCTGCCCTGAAGAGAAAGAGCGAGAAAGAGAGAGGAGATATATATATATATATATATAGATATATATATGCATATAGAGTGAGAGAGAGGGAGATTCAAGTTTCTCTCTCCTTCGGAGTTTGAACAAAATCAGTCGAAACTAAGAGCAACTGGGGAAGAAAGCCCTAATTTTTTTTGGGTTATGAGATTTGGGGTTTAAGAAAGTGAGGAACCGTAGCTCAAGATCGTGTGTCTGAACAGCATAGATGATAGGCTTTCGTGTAATACCTTCTTAATTTGATGCTGATTTATGCAATTACATGTAATATCTGCACACACACACACACACACACACACATATAGTGGAATTTAACTTGGTAGTGGTAATATAAGTGGTTCTGAGATGGACGGAAGGAGAATCAGCGCCAGTCCTAGGCCGTGCTGTGGTCGCCGTGTCGTGGCCAAGAAACGGCCTCGCGGCGGCGTTGATGGGTTCGTCAACAGCGTTAAGAAGCTCCAGAGAAGAGAGATATGTTCGAAGCGTGATCGTGCTTTCAGTATGAGCGATGCCCAAGAGAGGTTCAGGAACATTCGATTGCAGGTTCGTGGATTTGATTTTTGGGTTTCATTTAGTTTCTGTGCCATTATTGTTCATGCCTACCGGCTATTAAAACATAGGGAACATAAAAATGGATTTTTAGATTAATAATTTGAGGTACGCCTTTTTTTTATTATTTTTAAGTAAGGGTTTTGATGCTTAATTGATGTTTTCGGGGGTAGTGTTCAGCAACCAAAGTGCAAATTTGTCAATTTCCAAAGTTCTTCAATTGATTTAAGATATTTGTCTAGAAATGTATACGATTGTATATGGAACCATATCTATATAAAGTATGTACTTGGGAATAGGATTGCTCTAAAAGAAGTGTGCTGTCCGATCTATCAAGTTATTGACTTTCCCTTTTAAAGCATTCTGTTTTTGATGTGAAGCTCAAGATTGATATTAAACCATTCTTTGCTTTTGAAATTTGCATACACTAAAGGATCATCATTCTCGAACGTGGTCCTATGTTTCTAGGGTTCTGTTCACACTTCCATTTAAACATAGATCTAAATGTCATTTATAGGATGCACGTTTAGGTTTGTGTGCACTCCATATATAGGCTGTGTACACACATACATAGATTACAGTTATAAACATCAGGTGTTACCTTAGTCATCACTTATTGGTCGATAATCGATATTTGCCACTCCCCCACCCGACCCGAAAACAATTCTGCTTCTAAACCTAACAAAAACACAATGAAGTACTTGTGACATTTCATTCAATTGGCAATTTTATTTTTTTTTCACCTGATTTTGGTAAGTCACCTATATATAATTAAATATTAGATTTCCAAATATTTTTGCTGGAATTTGTTCCAATTTGCACGATCAACAGTTGATAGAGGAGGCTGCAGTAAACTATAGTTGGAGCATTTTTTAAGATGGAATGAACTTTAGTAGTGGTGTTCATATCCTACTTGTGTAGGGATTTGACGTCTGTCTTGTGTGTTCGCGTCTACGCTACTTAAGAGTTGAAACTCCATGTATGTACCAAAAACATGATACTCGTGTTGTCAATAACCAAATATAGTGGAGCCAAGGCTGTGTTCTCACGTTGAGGAAGAGAGTTTTGGGGCAAAGTTTTTAGGAATTGATAGTGAAATCTTCTCAGGAAAAATACTTAAGGTTTGATGCAAGTATCAGTACACTTTGGGGGAATTAAAAGCTGCTAAATACGGTTTATTCCATTTTGGAGGGAGTATTTACAAATAGGTGTTGGACTCATATGCTTGCATGCTACAGAAATGTATTTTGATAGTTCAGTTGTATTTGTTGGAGTTAGATGTGGCGGGAGAGGTGGTAAGGGAATCTTTGGCGGGATGTGGCATGAGAATATGCCTTCTTTTGTGCAGTTTTTTTTGGCAGCTGTGGTTCTTTGGATTGATTGGTGCGGAAGCATTTAGAATTTCAGGCAAGAAGGGTGAAATAGTCTTTTGCTTTCTTGTAGTAATATGCAGTGCTGGCAGCTAGGCAATGCGGAACAGTTGCTTCATGGTTTTTTATTCATCATCTGGCCTACAGTAGAAGGTGATGAAAGGTTTGGAGCTCCTTTCCATTTTGGTTATAATTGTGGAGTTATTATATATATGTGTGTGTGTGTGGAGGGAGATGATTTTCACAGTTTTCACTGAAGAATGTTTGAAAGTTATTCTTTACATGGTTGGTGATATGGATAAGATCCCGAGAGCTGATAAACTATCATCCATGTATAAAAATGGCCTAATAGGGAGTTTAATACTAATCTGAATTGCTTAAATACTGGTTGCTTCGTTTTCCTTCTACTTTTGTTTTGCGGGATGCTGTTTTGCTAGACTGGGAAATATTGATGCCTGGAACAGCACTGTTATTGAAGAAAAAAAATTAATAAAAAAAAATTGAATTGAGTAACAGTTTTACTTGGTTCATATATAAATCTAAGGATCAGAAGAAATGTCATAGGTTTTTTTTTTTTTTTTTCTTCATAAGTTCCATAGAATTATGTGGAGATAATATGTAGTTCTCCTGACTCCATGTCGAAGTGGTTCATGTGAATGATCCTTTGGTGTACAGTGCTTTAGGCATGCTCAATCTGGAGTTCTGGATTAGTTGAGAGTGCTAGTTCCTAAGAAGAAGAAGTGGTATCAATTATTTTATTTCACTTTGCTAGTCCCTACGAAGAAGAAAGTGGTTTCAATTATTTTATATTACTTTGTTATGAAGCTGAATAAGTGCATTTAAATAGGAGAAAATGGTGCGAATTTTGGAATGTTTCTGAGGGGTGGTTGTCTTCCTATATCATTTCCTATTCACTTTGCATCTGCTGACAAGATTTGGTGATGCTGCAGCAATTGAAATCCGGATTACATTGGGAAGATGTGGTGATGCATTGCATCCAACCGGGCATTAAGTTGTGTACTGAATTCAAAACTTCATGAAAGCACATGACTGAAATTATACTTGTCTTCATCAATTTTCACGCACTATCTCTGACTTCAGAGTTCTTCAAGCCCGAATTTGTCTTTGGGTGCAAGAATGTGTGTACTTAAAGAATAATGTAATTATTTTCCTCCTGTATTATGGTTGGGATGCAGTGCCATCTTATTTTTCGTTTTGTGAGCAATATTGGTTTAATGCATGCATATTTGAACTTTTGCTTATGTATGATGATGTGTTGCATGGATATGTGCATCAGGAGGAATATGATACCCATGATCCAAAAGGACACTGTGCCATGGTTCTACCATTTCTTAAAAAGAGGTCAAAAATAATTGAGATAGTTGCTGCCCGTGACATTGTCTTTGCTCTTGCGCAATCTGGTGTTTGTGCAGCATTTAGTCGAGGTAGAGCCACTATGTATATGTTTATATTCATATTAAGGGTATGCTGTCGTACTTAGAGTACATTTCTCAAACTGTAAAGAAATACCACATAACATGTTCATTGTTGGATGCAGAGACTAACCAGAGGATATGCTTTCTGAATGTCAGTCCTGATGAAGTTATACGAAGCTTGTTTTACAACAAGAACAATGATTCACTTATTACTGTTTCTGTTTATGCTTCAGACAGTTTTAGTTCTTTAAAATGCAGAACTACAAGGATTGAGTATGCAAATTGTTTCTTTCATTTTGCTTCGAGTTTCTAAAATTATCTTGTGTTTTCCTCACTGAAAGATAATGGTGTTAAATGGCCATAGGTACATACGGCGGGGCAAACCAGATGCAGGTTTTAGTCTTTTTGAGTCTGAGTCATTAAAATGGCCTGGATTTGTGGAGTTTGATGATGTCAATGGGAAGGTGCTTACTTATTCTGCACAAGATAGGTAAAATATGCAACTATTTTGCATTTTTATTTGCTAGTTTATGACCATCTTTTCCGCGCAATATACTTCCTGATTAAAATATACACTTCTTGTTTTAACAGCATATACAAGGTGTTTGACTTGAAGAACTATACAATGTTATACTCCATATCAGATAGAAATGTTCAAGAGATCAAAATCAGGTAAGCATACATACCTGCACAAGTACATGCATATATACACACCAGTTTGGGCAGTATAGTTAAAATTTGCATGCTTATAGGCATTCACATGTAGGTTCATGTATGATCTCCTATAGGTATTGTGAGATTTATTTGACTTTCATTTCCCTGAACTGAATTATTACTCTTATCAGTTCATTTTTGCAAAACATAGTAATTGATTAAGAATGTGTGTTGTTTTATGACGATTATCCATCACATTGTTTAAATCTTACATGTAGCTTGAGCTGGTGGTTGAGAGCCTGGGTTATTACACATAGCAACCAGCACCGTGCTATAAACAAGCACTGCTGAGGCAGCCTTGATCCTTAAAATTTTTCGGGTGTGTTGTGGTACCTGAAGAGGTTGTAGTTGGGACTTGGGGAAGGGCATCTGGGATGAGGCCTGGTGGCATGCTTAGGGAGGAGTTCTAACTTCTACCTAGGCCTTGATGGATGTAGAAACGACATGCATATTGATTTCCTTGCTTGAATCACAAATCAATCAATTAGCTTAATAAAAGACTCTTCGTCTGGGTGAAATAACTAGTTGGTTTGTGTAGGTGAAAGTACATTTCCGTTAGTTCCAGTATACACATTGCAAAAAATATCCATAAAATGCAGTTGAACTTTGTACAGTTTGTAGTTGGCTAGGTGTTATTAGTCTAGGAGCAGTGCTGTAACGCCTCTAGGTGCAGTACAGTAACTCCAGTTTGGTCGATACAGACACCATTCTGAAATTGTTTGGCACTTCAACTGTGAACCTGTGCCCTATCTTTGAAGTGGTTGGGTGTTTGGCGACTTTGATGCATTAATTAGACAATTTTTGTCACTTGACATTTTTTTGTGCATGCTTTGTGCTTTTTATCTGAATTGTAGCTTTTGAATTCTGTATTTCTTCTTGGTTGTTTGAGATTTTTAAAAGTTACAGTTAAGAATTGGTTGTATCTCTTCATATGGCTTAATGTTGCTTTGACTACTTTTTGTTTTTCCCAAAAAAACAGTCCAGGCATCATGTTGTTGATTTTTACCAAAGCTAGTGGTCATGTTCCTCTCAAGATTCTCTCGATAGAGGATGGTACTGTTCTCAAAACTTTCAACCACCTTCTTCATCGGAATAAGAAGGTGGATTTCATCGAACAGTTCAATGAAAAGCTTCTTGTCAAGCAAGAAAATGAGAATCTCCAGATTCTCGATGTAAGAATCTTTAATATCCTACTATTGCAATATACTCATGTTAATTTGCATCTAAAATCTGACTATTATTTGTTTGTAGGTCCGCAATTCTGAGCTAACAGAAGTTAGTAGAACTGAATTTATGACCCCATCAGCATTTATATTTCTGTATGAGAATCAGTTGTTCCTGACATTTAGGAATCGAACGGTGGCTGTTTGGAACTTCCGTGGGGAGCTTGTAACTTCATTTGAGGATCATCTTTTGTGGCATCCTGACTGCAACACAAACAACATATATATTACAAGTGATCAGGATCTTATCATTTCTTATTGTAAAGCTGATTCTGATGATCCTTTGTCTGAAGGAAATGGTAAATTACTCTGAGAAAATTTTTAATATGTTATTTATTTTATTTAATACATTTACTATACAACATATGTGTTTCACAATATACTAGTTTGGTTGAACTCTAGTTCCAACTTCCGAAGCATCATAAAAAGAAAAGAAAAAGAATACACGTAATATGCCCTCAAAATTAATGACATTTGGTTCACGTCATTCACTTATCAGTGACACACTCACCATGTGTACAGTATTGGGTTCTAATTCCTGATTGCTTTTGTGAGCATTATTGCCTTTTGGAGTTACGTTGGCTTTATTGTTTGGTTGTTAATGGGTGTTAGAGAGAAGATTTGCATCTTTACATTCCCCATGCGCACAGTATGATTGTTGACAGGTATTATGTTGACAGACGTGTTAATAATCTTAGGTTGAGAATTTTTACCATGACCTAGAATGTATATTGTTGTTTGCTTTCTTCTTATTCTTTGTCGTAAAATTAATTTTAGTTTTCTTGATGGATCCCACAATGGAGTTGTCATTTTGCAAGTTTGGTCGATTGTATAAATCCGTAGTTGATATTTTGTTCTAAATTTAAATAACAGTGGTTTTATTGGTCATGCAGCAGGATCTATTAACATCAGCAATATATTGACTGGCAAATGCCTAGCGAAAATAAGAGCAAACAACAGCCTTCCAATAGACGAATGCAGTTGCAGTGGCAGTTATGGTGGCCGGAGTTTCAAATCAAAGAAGCAAATCCAAGCTTCCCGGATTAGAAGCACTGTTGCAGAAGCTCTGGAAGACATCACTGCTCTCTTCTATGATGAAGAACGCAATGAGATCTATACTGGTAATAGGCACGGTCTGGTCCATGTATGGTCTAACTGAAGGTTATATCTTGCCGCCTCATTTCCTTCCAGATTCTATGATTGTTCCCAAATGGTAGATATCATTCTGCATCCCACTGCGAGGTCTACCTGGAACTGTACCATTAAATGCTCTTCTACTAATTTGTTCTTTATTTTCTTTTCATTCGTTATTGAGTGTTTCTTTCTTTTGTTTTATTGCCCTTTTTCTTTTACCAGGGTGGTATTTTTTCTTCGGCCCCCTATTAGTATTTGTTATTTTGTTTTGTTGGGGTTTGGACCGTTACAAGTTAGAATGATATTTCCTGTTGTAGATGTGCTTTTTGTAACTTCAGGCTGTCTATATATGAGCTGCAGGCAGAATCATTTGAAAGTAACAAGCAGGCTTGCAGGCACTTCACATATACATGTTGCAATTCTTTGATTGGTTCGTCTACTAGTTGCTATATTTGCATACAACTCTGCATAACCCATCCCTTGGTAGATAGTTGCACACGCTATTTGCTCGAACTTACCATTTGATTGACCCTGTCGATTTAATCCTTGGCCAAGAAAATGTAACATTCACCATCGTAGGCAGCCTTCATTTCTCCCCTTCTGCGAGTCACCGGTGTCCACATTCTTTCATCTGCCGCCCTCCAGCATGCATATTTTGGTCAAAATATTTTATTTTTCCAGCTTATAAGGCCATTGAAATCACTAACAATTTGACAATTTGATTTGTATTGTTCAAGCTGAGGGTGGTGATCATAGTTAAAAAAAAAAAAATGCAAAATCTGGTTTATTTATGTGTATACGTATGTATGTAACATTGCTCATTCTCTTAATAATAGTATTAGAATTGTCAGCAGTCATCTCCTTGTGGCCTTAGATTTGTCACGGCCAAGTCCATGGGACTCCCAATTTCTTGTCACAAAATCATATTAATAAAGTGTGTAAGTTGAGATATATTTGTTAAGGCATTGTTATTTGTTGCGATAGGCCACTATTGCAACGCAGGTTGTGAGGGTTTTAGTGTTAATGTTTTTTACTAAATGCAATTATTTGAAAGAAGAAAATGATGAGAGGTGAACAGAGAGAGAAAAAATGGTTTAGCGTATCAGGTTTTTACTTTCTAAAGGGAGGTTAGAAAGTTAAGCCTGATAAAGAGAATGTGTGTATGAGTACCAATTAAGAAGAAGAAAAAAAAAAAAAAATAGGTACAATTCTCGGGGTGGGTCGATTTGTTTGGTGGACCCATTGCTCTTGCTTGGTGTGTGAGTGTGAAATTGTCAAAATTTGTGTATCACATGGTATGATGATTGATGATGATGGCCACATGATATGATGACTTTGATGGCATGAATGAACTCTGTTGCTTCACGATTTTCCAACCTATCTTTGTTCGTGTCCTTGTAAGCCAAGACCTACTCCTTTTGAACTGGAACAATCTTCTCTTGTTGAGTCATCCATTTTTTTGTCTTTCAATTAGTGACACTATAATTCAATCATCATTAGGACTTAATGTCCATTGACTTTACTTTTTAAGAGCATAGGAGGGGTCGGAACAATTAATATTTAGGAATTCGATTCTAATAAGAATGGGATAGATGAGAGGAGTCACAAACAATTATTTCTCTTTCATCCATATGTAAAACAAGATGAAATGTGTTTGGGATTTCGATTCTAGTAAGAAATGGGAAGAGTTAGATACTTAGATCAGAGTTGAAACTTGAAATGTGATGGCAAAAAGAAAAGTGAAAGAAAAAAGAAAAAAAGAAAAAAGTGAAATTATATGGGAATTCACCGATTGAATCCAGATGTTGATTTGTACAAGGCTCCATTGAGGACTACTACTAGCCAATTGTGACACGACACTTGCCCTCCAAAAGCCCCTCAGGAAAGCATATTATTAATGTAAAATGTGCCAAGTGTGATATTTTTGTGAATACACATGTGAGGGTCAGCTTTGCAATAATAACATATCTAACCACCCAAAAAGAAACAATTATGTTGAAATAATTGTTGTTTGAGACACCCCTCTTTTAGAGCCACTGGTTTGAGGTTTTTTATTTTTTTTTTAATTTTATTTATTTTTTAAATAAATTACATTGATCTCTCTCATTTAATACTTAAATAATAAGGACTTTTCTTCTACTTAAAAAATAATATTGTCATTTGCTATAGTTCTAATTCGAGTAACACTAACCTCTCATATTATAAAATGTTATGTTTGAATTTTCTAAAAATCTAATTTTAATCTTAAAAAAAATGAAAAGACATTTTTCTATGTATATTATTATTTAATACCTTCTACTCAAAGTTAACACTAACTGGGAAGGTAGTGTTTTTTTAAAATTAGGGGGTGATTATAAATTTTTTTTCTTATGTACTTAAAAAAAATTCAAAAAAGGTAAAAAAGAAAAGAAAAAAGTTTGAATAATATTCTTTTATTATGGAATAATTAAATACTGGTAACTAAATCTAGGAGTAGCACGTGAAACGACGCTCCTCAGCGGTCGAGTTGATTTATAACTACTACTCCGTATATATCTGTGTCTGTTTTATTGTAGGATTGTAAACGCAATCAACGCGCTGGAGGCCTAGCGTTGCTTTACCCTTTTATCTTCCTTCCTTCCTTCTCTCACACTCTCTTCATTCTCTCTCTCTCAGCTCTCCCTGTCTCTCTCTCTCTCCACATTCTCTCTCTCTCTCTCTCAAAAAGAAAAAAGCGAACCAGAAAAGGAAAGGAGAAGACACTTGTTTCTCACAGCTTGCCTTTGAGATCTCTAGCTCATCTACCGAGGTAAACATTTCTCTCTCTCATTCTCATTCCGTTTTATTTTTCAAAGCATTTATATTCTATTTTTCGATTTCTCTCTACTTCTTCAATATATCAAAGACATCGCATTTCCTTGTTCACACACACATTCATATAGATATTTTTGTGTGTAGATTGCGCTCCTACTTGACCAATGCTTGAGATTTGAACTCATCTTCTTCAGGTAATGTAATAAGCCCTGCAATATATCAGTCGGTGACTTCACGTTTTTGCTGCATTTTCTCCAAAATTTGGCTTTTCTTTTACTAGATCTGATAGTGAAAGGTAGGTATACCATTTAATGGTTCTTCTTGACTTTGTTTTTACTCGCCGACACTTCACCCGAATCTATCTATTTTAAAAAGCTATTTTTTAAAATTATTATTTTTAATTTTGTAGTCTCACAATTAAGGTGTATAGCTTGCAGAATTTTTGGTGGTTTTTTTTTTTCCCTGATATTTTGTGCATCAATGAGTCTGAAATACGTCATTTTGATCATATATTAAGGTACTGTAGTTTTACCATTTTGAAAATTCTTGCTAATTTTGAGTCAAAACTTAAAGTAAATGGTACTATCAGAAGAGATAAATTTACTTACAGAATAACTTTATAGTATCACAATTGGGCGTATAGTTTGCATAATTGTGTGTGCATGTGCATAGAATTTTTGGTATTTTTTTTTTCCTAGGTATGGGATAATTAATTTCATCATATATCAAGTATTGTAGTTTTAGCATTTCCAAATAGGCTGTCTTGCTAAATTTGAGTCAAAATTTAAAGTAAACGGTACTATCAGAAGAGATAAAAATGCTTACAGAATAACTTTGTAGTATCATAATTGAGGTGTATAATTTGCATAATTGTGTGTGCAGATTAATAAAAATTTTAGTATTTTTTTTCCTGATATTGTGTGCATCAATGGGTTTGGGATACTTAATTTCCATCATATGTTAAAGTATTGTAGTTTTATCATTTTCAAAATAGGCTGTCTTGCTAAATTTGAGTCAAAATTTAAAGTTAATGGTACTATCAGAAGAGAGAAAAATTCTTACAGAATGCTAATTAAGAATTGTCTTAATTAAATTACTTTCTGTTGTTGGTGCTTCGTCTTTTTGTGTTCTCTTGTGCTTCTCCACCCCTAGGAATGCGATATGCTGCACACATGTATTATTTTTATCTACATCATGTCTGCTGTTTGAATTCTGGTTAAGTGGTTAAATTCTGATAGAGGTCAATATAGTATCAGATTGGATTATCTTTAAATGCAATTGAAGAGGAAATTTGGTCTTGTGCAATAATAAGTAAGATTAAGGTAAACCTGCTTCGTCTTTATACATATGTAATTTTGTTGTTGTTAGTTTTAACTTAATTAGATATAATGGGTTACATATGAATCATTGCTGAGGAACTCTCAGATTCGTAGGTTTTGTTTTTCTTCCTTCAGATCCCTCTGACTTTGAGATAAGCTGGTTGAAATGGAGGGAGCTATTGGTGCCAATGTGCTACTTGATTATGCTGAATTTCGTACTTTTCCAAGCCAAAACAGGTACCTAATATCCTTAGACTATTATATGATTACATAAACTCAAGGGTTTATTTCCTACCTTTTTTCTTTCTCAATTTTCAGCATTCAAATATGATTTTGAGTCTTTTTGAAAGTTTGACTAATTTTGAACCTAAATTGGAAATTGTTTTTATTGAAACTTGGGAAAGACTCGAAAGAGTGATGCTGAAAATCTACCTTCATAATCAATCAAGAAATTAATTGATAAATTATTATCATTGTCATTGATGGCATTAAAATTAGACCTCTAAATGGATTAGACTTGGAATTATCTAAGAATGGTTGATTCAGTCGGAATAAGATTCCAAGTGATTCTGATTGTCTCTGGTTATTTAAAAAATCTTCCAAATCCAGGTTGATCTTGTTAAAACAACACTGGTTGTGATTTTGATTATTTTCTAAAAGTTCCCAAGCCCTTGTGCATTTTAATGAAATTTGACTTAAGAAATTTACACATGGAAACTGATTATTCAATATATGGTGGAGACTTAGTCATTTTAGCTCGGGAATAAATACTAGAAATCAGTGTTGCTATGACACTACTACTACTACTACTACTAATAATAATCATAGTAGTAGTAACAACAACAACAACAGCTGCAGCAACAACAATAGTTTCCTTCACAATCACCATTTTTATGATTCTCTCTACTGTAGCATTGTCATCGGCCAAGCTCTTAAGATTTGCTTATCATTTCTAATTATCGTACTAGAACTCTTTGAAATGGTATACGGTGTCCTTTGCTTTGTTATAGGTACGAGGCATGTGCATGCAGTGGCAACAAAGTAGAAACACTAGCATCTGGGCTTCTGGAGCAACTATTGCAGCATTTGCCCAAAGTAAGAGATTTGTGTTCAAAAGGATCAAATGCTAATTTCAGATTTCAACCACCTGAAAATCTTAATGGTGCCAAATGGTTCACAAAGTCCACATTTACAAGGTTCAATTCATTAAAACATTTCCTGATATATCCTTTTTTTTCCTGAATGATTTATCCCTTTCCTTTATCTCTGTTATGGACAAGGTATTGGATTCTAACTTTTTTTGCTCTGTAATCTTTAAATTTCTTCTCAGATTTCTGCAAATTGTTGGTTCACCAGACATGCTAAATACCACCAATGCTATTGAAAATGAGATATCTCAACTGGAGGAATCGAGAAGATTTCATCTTTCTTTATATGCCAAGGTAATAGCTTTAAATCCTTCATTTTCCTTTGTTTTGATAAGTGGAATGTCTTACATCCTTCTTTAAGAATTAATCCTTGAAACTTGTATTGAGCTCATCAGTAACATTTTTTCCTTTCAGGATCATCAAAACAATTTTGGAAGTGGGAAAACAGGTTTGTCCCACGAAGTTTTACTCTTTATAGACTCGATAGCACCAAGTACAGAATCACATTATCGTTTTCTACCACAAATACAAATGCAACTTGATCTGGTTCTAACTAAAACCTGAGTGAACTATATGATAATAGGTTTGTTTATATTGGCTTTCAATGACGGTCACTTTAAAGTGTATGTATGTGTGTCATTAATTGTTATGTTGCATTAATTTTTATGTGCACTGTTTCCTAAATTGCCAGCCCTAATCTGTCCCAAGCTAAGCTGAATGTACATTTTGGGTGGGTCTGTTTGCCTCGATTATATTGTTCTAGAGTTTGGGTCATTTAGTTTTCAGTTGATCTTGAATCAAACTCAGTTTTGGCCATTGGTTTTATTTGATGTCAGACCAACCTACCAGACCCCTAGCTTTGGGGATCTGGGGCTCAAAAGGTTGGTCCTCCTATTGATTTTAAGGATATGATGTAAAAGAGGGACCATTGCATCTACTTGTTAGATATACTCTGATAGTCAAACATGTAAACATAATGCATTTAATGTTGTCTTTCTTTCCTTTGCTTGTTTCCTTCATCTTTATTGTGATAAAGGTTCTTTTTTTTTTTTCTTTTTTTTTTCTTTTTTTTTTTTCAATTTTATTTTGTTTTGTATATTATATATTTGCTTCTTAGAAAATGCTTATGGTTGTTGCTTTCCGTTTATAACAGATGATGGCAACTCTAATGGCGTGGCGCCGATGCTGAAAGTAACCCCTTCTCTCCTTTCTTTTTCCATTTTGTATATGGCATATTATGCATTTAGTGACTAATTTGATTGATGGTTTATCAACAGGCTGAAGATGAGATTTTGGCATCAGATTCGTCAAAGTACGTTCTGTTGAATTTTTTTTTCCCCCCTTTTTCCATTTACAAATTTTAATGTTCAACATTTCCACTAAACCATAGAGTAAATACTGCCAGGAATGAATTGGTACGAGCAATGGACTTGAGAATCACAACATTAAAGGGGGAATTAGCCACTGCTTTTAAAGCTGCTGGTGCAATGAGTTCTCTGGAGGATTTCACTGAATTAGAAAAATTCTCTCAACATGTTGGTGCTATAGAATTAAGGTACCTCAGATGCAAGACTAATTTTCCGAATGTCCTAAGACTAAGGCACAGCTAACGAGATTTTTCATTTGTTAATGTCTACTTCAGAAACTCTTTGTCCAAGTTTCTAGAACTGAGCCAAAAGAGCCCGATTGTTGATTTCCCTAGAGATGAGAAGTCCCATCTCACACATGCTTCAAGTAATGACACTATCAGCAAGACAGAAAAGGATACCAAGATACCTAAATCATCACACTCAGTTTCACAAGTAAAATATGGTGTCTCCCCTGCAAAAGTGGCACAGGTTGAGCGGCAGAGCTCTACAGAAAGTGAAGAATCTTCTTGCTCAAGCGAGGATGATCAACCATCTGTGGAAAGAAGTCGTCCTCTTATTAGATCTGCTTCACCTAGAAGGTCAGCATCTCCAATGCGGAGGGTCCAAATAGGGCGATCTGGGTCACGCAGGGCGGCTGCACTAACCATTAAGAGCCTCAATTATTTTCCTGCCAGAGAAAGGACGTTCTCCCATGGAGATGCAGCTGCAAACAGCAGTGAAGAGGAAGGGTCCGAGCAAGCCCCTAAAAAATCTGAGAGTAACATACGTCGAATGAGCGTGCAAGATGCAATCAATCTCTTTGAAAGCAAACAGAGAGATCAAATTGTTGATACTCAAAAGAAGAGGTCACTTTTAGATACCTCCATCAATGCAAATAAATCTGTCCTAAGAAGATGGAGTGCAGGTATGGGGGAAGGTTCCGTCCAATCCCTCCCAGAAATTGTTTCTGAAAATTCTGTTCCAATCACCCCTAATAACTTAGAGGGTGGAGAAATTCCAAACAGTTCAATAGAAGTAAAACCAGAATCTGATGGAGGTTACAATCTTATTGAGAGCTCTGAAGTAGAAATAAAATTAGACACATCTGAAAAAGGAGCATCTTTTCCGATAGGTATTCAATCAGATAATCTCGTAACCCCCACAGAGGAAAGTAGTGAAAAATTGACTGCCTCAGCTGAATGGAATCGGCAGAAGGAAGCAGAGTTGAACCAGATGCTGATGAAAATGATGGAAAGTAAACCTGTAAAATATAGGAATACAGTGCCTGATAATTGCAGAAGACAAAGTATTCCCTCTGAGCATAGGGGTGGATTCTATGATCACTACAAGGAAAAGAGGAATGAAAAACTTCAAGGAGAAGCAGCTGGAAAGCGTGCAGAGAAAGAAGCACAACTTAAAGCGATGCAGCAAATTCTTGATGAAAGAAAAGCTGAAATGGCCTCTGCGAATAGAACTGATGTCAGTAAAAAACAGTCTCTGGGTAAGCCCCAAAAACCACTTAAGAATATATCTCAATTGGCAAATCCCAAAAAGGAAACGGTGAAACCTGCTGTTGTGAAGAAAGCTTCATCTAAAGCAACACCCTTGCCTGCTACCCGGAAGTCATGGCCATCTACACCATCGCCAAGAGCCACTGGGGTATCACCAGCTAAAACTCCTGGTGGGACCCCTTCTGCTGGCACTACACCTACTCGTCGGAAACCCCAGCCAGTGTCATCAGTTCCTCGGTCAAGCCCCAAAGTGGAAAAACCCCAGCAGCGGCCAAAAAATGTGAAAGCAACCCAGAGTTATGCTAACAAGAGCGTAAAAGGTGTGAATGAGAAGAAGCAGCAAACAGTGACAAAAAGTGGGAAACCAACAAAAACAAAAGCTCAGACAAATTCTGGAGATCAGTCTTCCATGGTTTCGGCAAAGCCTAGTTTCTATAGCAAGGCAACCAAGAAGAGCAGTGTGGTACCTCTGGAGGCGAAACCTTTTCTTCGTAAAGGTTCAAGAACTGGTCCTGGTGTTGGTGCCACTGTTGCTAAGACAAAAGTCTCTTCTCAGCCTGAGGAATCATTTAAAAGTTCTGAAAATCTGATCCAACCCCAGGACCATGAGGTGCTTGCTGACACTTCTGTTCTGATCAATCAGCAGCAGGATAGGGACCTTGAAGCACTTGAAATTCATGCTGATTCAGAATCGGAAACTCAAGTAAATAGCCAACAGAAGTTTGATGACACACAGAGCTCAGATCAAGTTATTGCCAATGATGATGACAGCTTTAAAGGGAGGGCAGAGTCTGCATTAAGAACTGAAGCGGAAGAAGAATCAATCATTTCCCCAGCAGCATGGGTTGAAATAGAAGAGCATCACGAGCTGCCTATTCCATGTGACAATAGCACATGCCAAAATTCATCTCCAACCAATGTTGCTCCTATGACAATGTCAAGTCCACGTGTTCGACACTCGCTATCGCAAATGCTGCTGGAGGAGAGCAGTGAACCGGATGTTACTGAGTGGGGAAACGCTGAGAATCCTCCTGCCATCATCTACCAAAAAGATGCACCCAAAGGATTGAAGAGGTTGTTGAAGTTTGCTCGAAAGAGTAGGGCAGATGCAAATTTAACTGGTCTGTCTAGCCCATCTGCCTTTTCCGAAGGAGAGGATGATGCCGAGGAATCTAAAGCTGTTAATAAGAAAAATGCTGACAATCTACTCAGACGGGCCGCCCTTCATTCGAAGAACTATGGACAACAACAAACTTCACTAAGTGAAAGTTATGTGAGAAATTCAGCTACAGATGAAGTATTTTCTGGTACATTTACTTCCATTGCTTTACTTCCTTGCTGGCTACAATTATTGAACTTAAGAGTTCCCTTGAACGCTTTGTCATATTGTTAGTTAATAGCTAATAAAAGGTGATATAAATTTCAAATATAGAAAACACAAAAGCACCTATACTATCGTAGTGGCACTTTTCTCATTTTCCTCTTTTCGGTGTCTACTGCAATAGCATATTGCTAGTTTTCATGCATGTTACTAGAGAGATTGTAGTCTTGTATATTTAATTTGATACGTTATTGGAAGCCTGAGACTGATAATAATCATGGAATGCATACAGCTCAGTCAAATATGGGTAAATTCGCGGCTCAGAGTTCTTCTCACAAGTTTCAGGATGCCGCCGCCACAACTAAAGGTTAGATTTATTATCCTGTTCCCAGTCTTTAGTTTCTTTTCGTGTTTTCAGTTCCTTATTATGGTCTTATAATGGATGTGATTTGATTCCTTTTTTGTAAGTGAAGCTTTTCTTAATCTCTGTAGATTCCAATGCTGTCTACTATTTTTGTGTTTCAGCAACGAGGTCATTCTTCTCTCTTTCAGCATTTAGGGGCAGCAAACCGAATGAGACAAAGCTTCGCTAATGCTAAGGAAGAACTTACAAGTACGGAGAGTTGTAGCATATGCCCTTCCCTCCGTGGCCTTATACCAGTAGAGCTCGGCTCAAGGCAAATGTTTCTCTCTTCCTCTTCCATTCACTCTGTAATTTTACTTCAGAGGTCAGGGAGCATTCACTGTACTTCTGCATGTTGTTTCAGTGAAGATGATTTTTGTTTGTTTTTAAACACATTTATGATCAGAACAACAAATTTATATTATAATGTCTAGTCAGCTGACCTTTTTGTTTATATGTTTTTATGAACCCAGTGCATAATGTTAACTTCTAAATATATAAACTTCCCATACCTTTGGAGATATATATTCTTACAACTTTGACAGTTTGCTTTGAAGATTTGAGTGTAATTGACATGGTCCACAAGATGATTGTGGAATACCAGTAATTTGACTCGTATATCAAATTTCAGCTTTTTTTATGCTTTAACTTAAAAAATTTAGCTTTCATATTGTATCCAGCCAAGGCAAGCTTCTGTATCAGGTCACACCAAAGAAAATAACTAAACAGATAACAAAATCCTCCTATAGTACTCTGAAAAACTAAAGCCCTAATTTCACGAAAGCCTCTGCAATTCTCAATATTTCAGTCACACAACCCTCTAAAAATATCAAACACGTTCCCCACCTGTTAAACTATCCTTTTTCTTTTTTTAGCTTGGGATAGAAATATATTTATACACTTTTTGTTTACACCCTCGCTCTCCTCTTTCAGAATGTGAAAGTTATATTATTGGACTAGAGTCAACAAAATGACAAATGACAAAAAAAATAAAAATAAAAATAAAAAAATCCTTCTCTAGTTTATTAAAATTAATAAAAAAATAAATATAAAATTACAGTTTTGTCCATTTATCATATACGTACTATAAACCAAGGGTGTGATTAACTTGCATCGTACTACACTTTATACCCTTAGGATGAATTATATATATATATATAGATGAATCAACGTGCAATGTAAATTATCTGTAATTATTTTTATTCTTTTGCAAATATCACATATCACCCTATGACTTCAATATGAAAACAAATTATTTTTCCCCCACAAGAAATAAAAAATAAAACAGATATCCATATGAAGTTTAATAAAATAACAATGAATTTGGTTTATTTTCAGTGCATAAATCAAAATACTTTGTACACGTGTATTTTGATAAATCTATATACTTTTAGCAATTTTAAAAGTTTTTTGCAATTATATAAGCATAAAAGACCACCAGTTATAATTTGTTTCCGAAACAATTGAAATATGTCTCAAAAGGTGAATATGGAAGAGAGTATTTGATTTTTCTAAGAATAAATAGTCATAAGAGAGTAAAAATCCTTGCTCAAGGGGAATAAATAGAGTCAATGTTGCTATTTATTATTTTTAAATAATAATTTATAATTATGATCTAATTTTAGTGTTTCTAACCATCTGTTTTGTTTTGTTTTTTTAGTATGAAATATTGTACAAGAGGTGCTTTAATTTAAAATGTAACTGTTCCATTTTACATTGTTTCACATGAGTGAATAGTTACAACAAATCTGAAATTAATCATTAATTTAAGTCACAACGATCATTTAAAATTTTTAGAGTAAGAAGTTTATGAAAATTATAATTCATTAACATTTTATGATATTGAATTTCAATGCATCAACTATCAAACAAAGTTAAAAAACAAAATTTCTTTTTCTTTTAATAAACACCCAAAACGTAAACACAATGTTAAAATAAGTGTTTAAATTGAAAAAGGTCTCTAACTCATAAATCTTTCATATGTAAAATAACTAAAATTATAATCTAAACACTGATAAAGTACTCAAACACTGACCACGTAGATAGAGAAAAGTGACTTTTAAAATTTAATTATTTTTGTGATGAATCATCTCTTTTGGAAATTTTAAAAATAGACTTGTAGAAAGAGAAATAATGCCACTTTTGGATGAAACTAATTTTTTGGAATTGATTTACAAAAATGAGAAAGGAACTTGGAGCATTAGAGATTTTATAAATCATGAATCATCTAATAATGTTGTGTATCAAATCTCGCAAATGTAATGATTTAATCTATAAAATTTTGAGAAGGAATATAATTCATCAGTTAATCAATTAATTAACCACAAAATTTGATCCTACCAAGTATCTTGAAAACAGCCTTGAAGAAGAACGTATATAATTTTTTAGATTAATTCAAAAATCTTTCCCAAAGTGTGGCACTGCATTCACAACAATTGAAACATACCTTTCAAAAAATTTAGGATTTTGAGATTTGATTTGATGCACACAAACCAAAGGTATGTTCCCTTCTAAAATGGTTCGAAGTTGTCTATGGAAGAAGAAAACCTCCAGCATTTTTTTCTTATGGGTTCTAGGGTCGGCCCTGAGATTGCAAAAATCTTGAGAGGCCTTAGGCGAATTTTAAATATGAGGCCCTCTATACATAAGTTTCATAGGCGCCAAACAAAAAAAAAAAATTATAAAAATGCAAAATTTTTATTAAAGTAAATGTGACTGTCTTGCATTTTGAACCGCAAAATCATCAATTAAAGTGCTCAAATCAACTTTCTCCAACACATCTTTTTCAATAGACAAGATAGCCAATCCAATCAATCTCTCGTGTCAATTGATTTGCTGGCTTTTTTTTTTTTTTTTTTTTTTTGAGGCCCCATAAATAATTTGTTGGGTTACAAATTTTTTTTTTTTTTTTGTGGCCCATCATTCATGAGCCTATAAATTTTTAGGCCATTTGCTACATCTGGTTAATTTTTTTTTTTTTTTGGTGGCCCATCATGCTTTTGAGGCCCCTTAAAATCTGAGGCCCTAGGCAACCGCCTTGGCCAGGGCCTGCCCTGATAGGTTCACGTTGGAGGGATTGTGGAAATCAAGAGACTCTCTTTTGGAAATTAAATAAAATAGACTTGTAGAAAGAGAAATAATGTCACTTTTGGATGAATCTAATTTTTTGGAATTGATTTACAAATGAGAAAGTAACTTAGAGCATTAGAGATTTTATAAATCATGAATATAAGAATCATCTAAAAATGTTGTGTATCAAATACTGCAAATGTAATAATTAATCTATAAAATTTTGAGAAGGAATATAATTCATCAGTTAATCAATTAATTGGCCACAAAATTTGATACTACTAAGGGCCTGTTCGGAGGCCTATATCTGATATTGTTTTGGTGTTTTGGTTTTGGTTTTAGGCCAATATCATGTTTGGAGCGGGCTGATATGGTATTTAACAGTGCCAAAACATTATCATTTTTGGGCCAAAACCCATATCAACATTTTGGTGATATTAGACTGATATGGCACTGTAGCGGTGAATTGTTCTTAAACCAAAACCAAACCAACCCTCGTTTTTACTGTAGCGGTGATATCACGTATATAAAGGTCGCATATCAGATTTAGGGCATTTTTCAGCGTCGTTTCTCTCTCTTCGCGTAGCTCTTTGGAGGCGACTTCAGTGGCGATCCAACCTTTTCCATCACCGATCTGGCAGAGCTCCTCCACCAGGTACCTCATTTTGTGTCTCTGTTTGTATCTATAGATCACATATATCTTCGCTTTTAAGATTTACATTTGGGAGGTCCTCGTGTTCACTTTCTCTCTCTAAAATATTGTGACAATCACTTTCTCTCTCGCGTTTCCAAGTTTTGATCTTTATTCCAATCATGTTGTGAGTGTTGTAATTTAGGGCTTTGTGTCCAGATCTCAAGTTTCATGAGGCTGTGACGGAGATCTAGGGTTTGATTTTAGCCCTTTTCTAGGTTGTTTCTTCTATCAACCATGGTTCTGATTTAAGGGTTTATGTGTCATCCATCGATTGCATGTGTTGCAATTTCATATAATTTAGTTTTTGAATGACAGTCTCATCAATTTTACTCTTTTCTTTGAAGGCCTCTCGGACCTCAGCTTGTGCCTTTTCCAATCTCTATTACTCTTGGGTTCTTTAGTAGTTCTGACATTGCCCATTCTATGGTTGTTGCAGAAGTCTCACTCCCTGCCGCAAAATGTCCTGAAATTAAAAAATGATTGAGCTACCATGAAATAAAAAAGACCATGAATGTCAGTTAATTTGTTAGCATTACTGAATTTCCATATTATGCCATGTCTATTTAAACTAAATCAGTACTACTTCTAATTAATTTGTAGTCCAAATTAATGGTATTACATGAAATGAATATTGCCAGTTATGCTAGCTGTATAATACTTTCAAATGCTGGTCAATTCATGTTCAACTCATGAGTCCTGACTTATATTCTCTCTCATTATCCTCGTGTAACATGAACACATGAGAGCAATCTTCGTGAGTGCTTTTTCAGTTCAGATAAGTCTCATCCAGTGTGTTATACTGTTATGTACCACTTTCCTTCACCTTGCTCTTAGATATGCTAAACTAGTAGTTAGCGTACAAACTGGAACAAAGAGCTAGCCTCAAATACTAAATTTCGACTACGCTAAACTAGTAATTAGTGTACAAACTGTAACAAAGAGCTAGCCTCAAATACTAAATTTTGACTACAATTTTTGTTTTATTTCTGCAAAAAACAATTTTAAAATGTTGAAAATTGTTTTGTATCTTAATCTTTGCAGTGCTTCATGTATACATGTATTATGTGTGGATATAAATATTTACATGAAACATTGTAAAATTGTATGAATATATACATACCAAAATCACAGTTTTGATGTTGTCAGTTGTGAAAGAGAAGTTGAGATCACTGCTCTTCTCAACCTTTAGGAGAACATCAACTAGAGAAATGGAAACTTATCCAATTTGAATCACCTAGCTTATATAGAAAATGACTTTGAAATTGAGGAATGAGACTAATTTTTAAGAAAATCATGTGGTTGATTTAATTGATTTTGACAAATAGAATTTGAACTGAAGAAAATGAAGAAAATTGTGAGAATTTGAACTAAAGAAAATGGAAGGAGACTGATTTTTATCACATTTTTACTTCATTTTTTCTTCTTTTTTGCCCTTTATTGAAGTGTTTTATAGACAATACCTTCTTTACATATCATTGACGTGTTGAATTATGAGTCAAAACACAATTTAATGTACTAAACTGTTTAATTACTTAATAATAATCAGATGGACATGAACAATGACACTGTTGAGCAATACTTATCAAGAGACATTCATTCTCTTGATGGTGAGAATGGTGAGGATGTTGTAGTTATTGAACAGGCCAATACCGCTATTTGGTGTGATGCCCATCAAGAGAAATTCATGCTCTTGATGGAGGAAGAGGTTGGAAAAGGAAATCGTACAGGCACGACTTTTAATCCAAATGGGTGGACACC